AACGGTATAAGAACACGTTCTGGGCGCCCTTGATGAAATGAGGTCGTAGAAATCTTTTAAAATAGTTCACTCCTTCATTGGGATCCCTGAGCATATCTCTATCCAATAGCCTCTTGTATTGTAGAGCATCTCCTTCCAGTCGATTGCGCCAAAGTTGGACCACGTTTCTCAGGTTCTAACTCCGTGATGTCACACCAGTCATCAATTGCATCCTCAAAAGCAAAGAAACTAGTTCTCCCATCATATGCTGGAGCTACCTTTGTGGTCATTTGTCATGTGAATCTGTGTCTGCTGGGGTGCTCTTCTCATTGCATAAGAGTCATATTGGTTCCATCCATCTGCAACGACAATGTCGAAGTCATCTTCATCATAGCCATGGCGTGCCATTGCTTGGGCTCTACCTGGAGCTCACCCTCAATGAGGGATCACAGCTCCGCTACCACTTGAAGGGGGGCCCTAGCGTCTACTTCAAGATCAGCTAAGGCGTCTTCCCCAATGACAGCACTCTTTTATACACTCAGCGTGTTGCCGGTCAGTGCTTGTCTACAGGGTTACTCTATTACCTCTTGAGCCTTGAAGGGCGCATATAAATGTGCTCAATACTCATGCATGTACCTCTGTAGGTATTAGGTCGAAACAAAAACAGGGGGGGGTCCCGAGAGTTGGACTGTACCGGGCTATAAGGCAAACGTGTTATGTATATACATACATATAAATATATATATAAATATATATATATATACATACACATTTTTTTGATGTACACACAAACATTTTCAGTTCCACATGCTGGTAAACTTTTGGTGGGGTTTAGACCTGGAGTTTCTTAGATCTTGACCACAGCCCTGCCCTTTGTTACCATTGATTTCTTTGCAGTTGCTTTGGCACTTGTGTTGCTGTGGGCAGACATGTTTCTGAGTGCTCTGCAGTGGCATGGCTGAATGATGACAGCTGTGGCCGTATTCAGTAGATACAAGCTGCAGGATACTATAGGAATCTATACGATACTTTAGGAACTCTCAGGAAACTATAGGAATCTTTAGGATACTATAGGGTTCCCATAACAAACTCAACAACCAAATGCTTCTTGCTGAAAAGAAGATGGAAGAAATAGAGGGAAAAATGAAAGGTTGGGAACACTTCCAAGAGAGAGAGCCAAGTTGAATGCCATTCTATGCGATTTCCTGCAAAGAGGGTAGCGGAGATGTCCGGAACTCCTCAAAAAAAAAGCAAAACATCACAAAACATGTGACAACCAAGCGCATCTTAACCTTTTTTACCCCTTACCACGCAAGGCCATCGGATGCCATCGGGAGTTCTTTAGAAGGACATGAAAAGAACATGGACGAAATAGGGTGAAAAATGAAAGGTTGGGAACAATTCCAGGAGAGAACCAGGTATAATGCCATTTTTGAGGGACTTCCCCAAGAAAGATTTCCAAAGTTGTTTGATGTAGTTTAGGGATATGTAGGGTAGGATGCAGTGTGGGATGGCACCTTTGAAGATTCATCCCTTGGGGAAAAAACAATGCATCTGTCCCAGCGCGATACAGACATGTGCAGAACGAATGGTGCCAAACACCATCATGTTCAGCCATGTTCAGCTTAAGTACCCTCAGCATATGCCTGCCACACAAAGTGAAGGTGGATGTCACAAAGTGCCACGCCTGCCACGCAAAACGCCGCGGCGTCCCAGCGCGGCCTGGGAACCAAGCGCGCCACCAGAGCCAACCCAGTGCCATAAGTGCCACGCCTGCCACGCAAAGTGACGATCCATGTGTTGACAAGTGCCACGCCTGCAAGTGCCACACCTGCCACGCAAAGTGACGATCCATGTCGCCAAGTGCCACGCCTGCCACACAAAGTGAAGGTGGATGTCACAAAGTGCCACGCCTGCCACGCAAAACGCCGCGGCGTCCCAGCGCGGCCTGGGAACCAAGCACGCCACCAGAGCCAACCCAGTGCCATAAGTGCCACGCCTGCCACGCAAAGTGACGATCCATGTGTTTGACAAGTGCCACGCCTGTCATCAAACGCCTGACATGGCATGGCACGACGGCAACACTCGATGCAGCTGCGCACACAGCACTAACCGATGCAGCTTGACTCTGCCTGTGTGCTGGTGCCCGGTGGACAAGTAGTGTGAAGACAAGTAGTGTGAAGACAAGTGGTGTGATGACAAGTGGTGTGATGAGAAGTGGTCTGATGAGAAGTGGTCTGTGGACAAGTTGTGTGATGACAAGTTGTCTGTGGACAAGTAGTGTGAAGACAAGTGGTGTGATGACAAGTGGTGTGATGAGAAGTGGTGTGATGAGAAGTGGTGTGTGGACAAGTTGTGTGTGAGCAAGTTGTGTGTGAGCAAGTGGTGTGATATCAAGTGGTGTGTAAGCGATTGTCTGTGGACAAGTAGTGTGAAGACAAGTGGTGTGATGACAAGTGGTGTGATGAGAAGTGGTGTGATGAGAAGTGGTCTGTGGACAAGTTGTGTGATGACAAGTTGTCTGTGGACAAGTAGTGTGAAGACAAGTGGTGTGATGACAAGTGGTGTGATGAGAAGTGGTGTGATGAGAAGTGGTGTGTGGACAAGTTGTGTGTGAGCACAAGTTGTGTGTGACGGGTTGGGTATGTAGGGGGTATCATCCTAAGACCCAACCATACCACGAAAACGGCGAAAACCACGCAAACGGCGAAAACCACGCAAACCACGAAAAACGGCGAAATCCACGCAAACCACGAAAACGGCGAAAACCACGAAAACGGCGAAAACCACGAAAACGGCGAAAACCACGCAAACCACGAAAACGGCGAAAACCACGAAAACGGCGAAAACCACGCAAACCACGAAAACGGCGAAAACCGGCGCAAACCACGAAAACGGCGAAAACCACGAAAACGGCAAAACCACGCAAACCACGAAAACGGCGAAAACCACGAAAAACAGCGAAAAGCGGCGAAAACCACGCAAACCACGAAGACGGCGAAAAGCGGCGAAAACCACGCAAACCACGAAAACGGCGAAAAGCGGCGCAAACCACGAAAACGGCGAAAACCACGAAAACGGCGAAAACCACGAAAACGGCGAAAACATGCGAAAACCACGAAAACGGCGAAAACCACGAAAACCGGCGAAAACCACGAAAACGGCGAAAACCACGCCAACCACGAAAAACGGCGAAAACCACGCAAACCACGAAAACGGCGCAACCCGCGAAAACCACGCCAACCACGCAAACCACGAAAACGGCGAAAACCACGCAAACAGCGACAACCACGCAAACAGCGAAAACCGCGGAAACGGTGAAAACCACGAAAACGACGAAAACCACGCAAGCCAAGGAAAACACACGGGCGCTCCACCTTGCCATGGCATGCCCTGCGCAACACTCACGCCGGAGGCACGTGCTCATGCCTTCTATAACTGCCGCCCTAATCGCACAAGCACGGAAACATATACCGCAAATAGCAGCGACACATGGTCCACAACGGTCCAAGCCACCCCCCCTTTCGCGTGATGTCCTTAAGCAGCCCCCGGAATACTTGCTAAAGCAAGAAGACTCCAGCTAGCTGATGCTAGCTTTCGTGACTTTTTGTACTGATTAAACGGCACACTGTGAGCTCTAATGATTGGACTGTATTGTATTGTGCTCACATGGATTCACTCGGTTTGAGGTTGAAAGCGACACCGTGCACTGTGACTGGGTGGCTTGAGTTTGAGGTGGAGTTCAGTTCACCGAATCAAGGTTGGATGAGGTTGGGCCCAAAAACTTCCATCTTCCTACTGTGTTTCCCCTAGGATCTTCCTTGAAGGAGATGCAGCGAGCACTGAGGCCATCAAGAACCCATTTATGACCATGACATTGCAAGGAACGACATGCACATGAAATGCCATGAAATGGAATGGAAAAAATCCTGCAATGCATTTCAGCTGTGGGACAACTCATCTATCCTCCTGAAACCAGCAACATTCCAGGAGATCAGAAACAAGCGACTCTCGATGCCAGTTTCGCCAAGTGCGCCCATGGCAAATGCGATCGAACAGAGATGGGAAACTGAAAAACTAAAAGTAAAGCACCAATCCCAGGAGCATTCCCAATTCACCAGTTATAGATATATTGTTTGTATTTATACAAATATGTATGTATATATATATATATGTGTATGTATGTATGTATGTATGTATGTATGTATGTATGTATGTATGTATGTATGTATGTATGTATGTATGTTGTATGTATGTATGTATGTATGTATGTATGTATGTATGTATGTATGTATGTATGTATGTATGTATGTATGTATGTATGTATGTATGTATGTATGTATGTATGTATGTATGTATGTATGTATGTATGTGTATATTTACATATACATATACATATATATAGAATGTAAATATTTATATATGTATACATATGTATATATATATGTTTATTTATATGTACATATGTATATATATATATATATGTGCGTAAATATATGTGTATATATGTATATATATATATGTATATATATGTATATGTATATATATATGTATATATATATATGTATATATATATGTATATATATATGTATATATATATATATATGTATATATATATGTATACATATATATATATATATGTATACATATATATATATATACATATAAGTTGGCTTCCCTCCTGTTTCCACGTTGCTGATTTGGTTCACTGCAGCGGTGCATATGTTCAGCACCAAAAACTGCGTTTGTCCAGCCATTGCCACCCAAATTTTCCCGTCTACCTCTCTCAGCAGGAAAACCATGTTGTACATTGTATGTTTGAATCAACAAAATTCTTGGTCTTCTGGAGCAAGTCTGGGAAACCTGAGGCTGCAACGTTGATCAGGTTCTTAGTGGAGCTAGGCAGGCGTTCAACGTACGTCACGTAAATCCGTAAATCACCTCCTGAAGGTATATCTCCATCGTCTTGACAGTCGCCCAACGGCCACGTCTACGGACTACTTCCGAGTCCTCGCAGGCGTTCAGCATGCTCCTCCAGGACGCAGTGACGACAAATCAAAAGCCCGATGTCTGCCAGAACTCTCATCAGGCAGCTGTAGAGCTCTCATCAAATCACCAAATCTTCGCGTCAGTGTAGCCGCTGATCCCGGCCAGAGTTTGCTCTCCGGGGCTACCCGTGCAAAAGCCAAATCAAGCAAAGCAACAATGTCTGCAGGATCAACTCTAGCGGCCTGATGCTTCGCATGCTTCCCCCTGGTTTTCGGCTGGCATATTTTGAGCAGTACGTAGTTTGTACCCGCAACTGCATCCCTTGGTAGAATCAGGTCTGAACGTGTCGCTTGAAGGGTTTCTCCAATCCTCAAAATGCCCGCCCAAGTAAGCCCAAAAATTGCAGCTTCAGTCAACCATCCCGACAAAAGCGCAACCGACATGATCGCCAGCAGCACCGTTGCTGGTAGCGCCGGGTGATGTGAGAATGGCTCCTCTGACACCCCGGAAAAAGCATAGTCCCAGGCAGCTGTGAGTTGTTTCCTAACCTGAGGCCATGAAGCTGCAACACTGTTGATGGTCTCAGCATAGATCCCATAGGCTTCTCTCACCAACCAATGACAGATCTTTTCAGGGTCTGCTGGTCTCTCCCGCAAAAAAAAAGGAGAGACACTCCTTTCACCTGCCAAAGCCACTTCTGAAAATCCCTAAGCAGTTTGCGCCTTCTTTTCCTTGTTAGATCCAATGCAACCCTATCACCGGTAGGGAGGGCTCCAGACCTCTCATCGGCTCGGCGACGCTCAGCTGCAGACAGCAGCTCCATGTTACATGCGCCCCACCGGAAGTCCAAAAACCCGCGGCTAGGTGCAAGGCTCAAAAAGACAGGGAAAGTCCAGAAGACATGACTGGTCTTGAGTGCCGACAGGAAATGGGATAAAGTCCATAGGGCAACACATAGACCTGCCAAAGCTAAGGAGGAGTTGCAGAGACCGAGGAAAAGGCCAGCAGCGACAGGGAAAGTCCAACTGACAGTGAGCACCCAAGTGTGAAAAGTCCACAGCGAAAGCCATGCTCCAAAATCAGGCCAGGCAGGCAAGACAAACGACAAGCTTGAGCCCACAGCACAACTCTGAACTCCGCCACAGGACGAGACAAGGAGCAACAGACGAATCCAGTTTGCTGCGGCTCTTCTCAGACCAACCATGTGCAGGGCTCTGAAGTCAACGCCCTCGGCACTACGGATGCTCTTCTCGCTCGTCTCACGGACCACAACATCCCTAGTTGGGTCATCAGCTGTATTGTGTCGTGTGGGACAGAAAGGCCAAACTGGATACAAGTCAAAAGCAAGCTGCAGCACACAGGCACGACGAAGGAGCGGCTGGAGAAGCTTTGAGGTGGACCTGCCCTTTGCCAAAGCTCCCTTTGCAACAGCTGAGTCAAGGAACGACAGGAAACGCACATGGGAGTTCCTCTTGCTAACCTCAACCAACACAGGGAGGGCGGCAGAAACCTCCAGCAACTTCAGTCCGCTGAGAGGTCAGCATCATGTCATTCGTTACAACAGACTCGAGGCCAGACACAGACCATTCGGACTCAAGGAGACAATCGAGGTGCAAGCCCATCTCAGGAGTGTAGATGGCGGATGCTTTGGTGTAGCTGCCTTGAATCCTATAGCATGAGTATCTCAAGTTCCTCCAACAAAAGTCCGTGCACCAAGAAACGAAACTCCTTGTGGTGAGGAGACCCAAATTGGCACGCAGCAAGAACAGCTTCCAAGAAATCATCAGACTCAACAAGCGACCTCCACTCACGCAGCCAAGCCATCTTTGAGCGTCTCGGTTGTTCAAGTCCACAAGGGGTCCTATGTCTCCACCCGACACGAAGCAGAACCAAGGACCGAAAAGCTTAACAGTTGCCATGCATAACACGAAGGTTCTCCCGACAAAAACTTGTAGGACCGCAGGCAAAGAAAGTGCGGAAACCGAATCCACGTGCCTCACAGCGCCAACCCCACCGTAGATCTCAATGAACTCGAAGTGGAGAGGCGACGCCTTCGGTTTCACAAGCGGAGCCTGGGCTTCTTCAAAGGTCTCACCAAGATGCCTCAATATCTCCCTGGCCCCATTCTCAAGGACAACGTAGTGGCCCTTCTTGTCTTAATCAAGCCAGATCTCTTTGGAGAGCTCCTCTGGCACCGAGGCTTTCGCAACCGCACCTTTCGCAAGCGAGGCATCAGAAGCAAACGCAGAACCAAGGTAATCGACTGCAAAGTTGGAGCACATCAAAGGTGACAGGGCAGAAAGGAGGGCGAGTTCTCCACAGACTCTTCGAAGCAGAGGCAGAATGACCTGAGGGTCAACGCTTTCCGCAACAGTTCCAAAGGCAAACAAGCAGTCCACAACGGAAGCCAGACAACGACGATACTAAAGAACCAGTGTGTGCGCCAGGGGTGGGGAACCTGAACGTGAACTGATCGGGTTCGGGTTCGGGTTCACATCTGGATGGCTGTATAGAGGACAGGCTCTCTACTTGGATGATCTGGGGTTTGCTAGTGACTTAAAGTTTTTAGGAATAGCCTTCTAGTAGCTACCTAAATACCTTTTAAGAACATCGTAAGCATATGCTAACCACTTGTAAGGCTTCTACTTGTGTCAGGAAGTTAACAAGTGTCTAGCTAAAAATTAGCTAAAGTTTCTAAACAACATAATTATGTTAAGTGGTTAGCCATCAGACATGCTAATTATGTTAAGGGAAGTTAAATACTTAGCCTCAAAGTTAGCATAGTTAGCTAAGTATTTAGCTAAGTGGTTAGCTAAGTTAGGAAATTAACATTTAGAATAAATTTTCATGTTTTTGGCCAAAAAAACAAATAAAACCAAAAAAACATTTCCATAAAACATGCACAAAGTCTTGAAGAAAGCCAGAAGATTCACATTCTTTCAGTGAACCTCGTGAGAACACAAGAGAAAGCAGGGGAATTAAAGGACCGGATAACCCCACAAGTCAACTTCTTCCTAAAATGAGCTTCAATGGTTTCAGCGGGGACAGGGAAGGAAGGAAAGACAAAGGAGGTGGTGAAAGATCGTGTATGTATGTATGTATGTATGTAGGTATGTGCATGCATGCATGCATGTATGCATGTATGTATGCATCCGACGATGATGACATAGAGGAAAGGTACCTGGCCGCAGAAGTGTTGAACACGAATGTAGCTGGTTGTCAATGCAACTATGGAAGACACGACACAGTCACAGTCACAGGCAAACACCATGACACTAACTGTGCAGGTTTTTCCAAAGATGTCAAGCAACCGCAAAGATGTGTGTGTGTGTGTTTGTTTTTTTTCCAACACTCCTTTTTGTGTCTGCTCAAAAAGGTTCGTGCCAGCCAGCGTAGCATTTGCTACGGTTCCTTGGTGGAAGCTTCTGGCCCCTCTCGCAACGGTTTCATTGGAGAAAGTTGCTGTTGCTTCATTTGCACAGCTGTGGAGAAAATTCAAAAAAGCGAGCAATCTAATGCCTCTTGTCTGGTTGCTGCTGCTGGTCTCTTTGATGGGTCAATCTCCTGGAATGGAGGGCATCTGCTCTGTGAACTCCTGCAAGGGCTGGCGGTATGCATATCGATACAGCTGAATGCAGTCAGTTCGAAGAAGCCAGAAGACGGTCGCGGTGCGCAACATCCATCCGGGAATGCTCCATGTTGGTGTTGGTGGGTTCCAATCATCAGTCAGCAACCATTCTGCAGGGGTGGTGCTGTCTATCAAGACTGGTGCCAGTCGTAGGGCCGATCTGTAATGTCCTCCCTTGTCATTTCCCAGGTGGGACATCTGCGCAATGATTTGATATTCCACTGGTTCATACTGCAGTCCTGAACCTGGAAAAATCGGTACAATGCAGGTGTTGTCTGGGTTGATCTTGCATGCACTTTTGTAAATGTCACCACTCGGAGTTTGAATGCATCTATCCAAGTGGATGCACAAGCAAATCGGTGCTGTGGTCAGGGCAGCTTGCATTCCATCCACCTGTCGCCAAAGGTTGAAAAGAGATGTCAGTTCACATGTTTGCATGTGCGCAAGGTGATCATCAAATTTCAAGCATAGAGGCATGTATGGGCCACTGCTGTCTGCAATGCGTGGACGGTCATTTTCAAGCAGCCTGCGTTCCCAGCTCATGTCAAATGCCGGGGTGGCAAGCAACTCCAGCCAAACGTGTATGAACTCTGCTGCATCCTGTTGTGAGAGTGAATCAACATCAACATCAGGATCAGTTTGACCCCAGCAACGCATGATGTTTTGAAACCAGGATTCTTCACCTAAATTGGCAGGAGTGGTGTAATGTCCAAGCAGAAACTGTGTCAACATCAGGCGTTGCGTGCCCCAATTTTGGAAGTCACATGTCTGCAGGGACAATGTCGTCCACAAAAAGGAAAGAATCGCCGCATTTGCAAAACAAAAATTCCCTGGATTCTCCAAGGTGAGGAAGGCCACATGTGATTGAAGGTATTTCATGTCAGCGTTGTTGAGCGCTGGTACTGCAGTCACTTCTCCTCCTTGGCTGTCGGTTTCGTCTTGGTCTTGGATTTCCCCTTGCCTTGACCCTTCGTGGTGTTTCTGGTCAGTCCCATTGTCATCTGGAGTTGATGTGCTAGGGGGCTTTGGTTTTGACTGTGAGGTTTCAGTGAGCCCCCCATCATCAGCCAAATGGCCGAATGCGAGAGCATCTGAAGGATCTGCCAGGGCTGATCGGACCTCATGCTGAGTTGGAGCTTCCATGGTGTCACCTCCTGATTCTGTCCTGTTGGCAGGGCGTGGAAGCGTCTGACCAGGTTGACATCGCTCAGGGCCTCCAGCATGTCCGTGCAAAGCTGGTTCAGGTGTTTCAGAGTCAGCGGTTTGCGCTGGCTGACTCTGAGTTTCTTTGCCCCCTGATCCCATTCTAAGAAGGGGCATGTCCCATCCGGCAGCAGCAGCAGGGTGCTCAGCGCTGCATTTTTCACTTCTGATCCCTCCTGTGCTGCTCCCAGTCTGTCCAGTTTGTTCAGCAACGTCGTGAAGAGCACCTGCATCAGTTTGAGACGCAATGGGATCAGCGGAGCTTTCGTTGCGGCCTGCTTCTGGGCCTGATGGTTCTGCGCCCAAGTCTCCGTGGTCTGCATGAGAAGCGTCAGGCAACTGTCTGGCCCTTTGTTGCTGAAAAAGAAGATGTAGGTGTCCTCTTGTTTCATCAGCTGCATGTCCCTGTCGAGCTTGAGAGCCAACTGGGTCAACTGAGACATCGCCTTGGCCAGGTTGAGCTTGTTTGGCAGGCCCTGCTGTTGGTCTGGTTTTACCAATTCTCCTTTTCTTGGCCGCTTGCTGGCTGCCAGGTTCGGTTCGAGTTTCAAGCTCTTGTCGATCAGGGGGGCCACGTGTTGAAAGGCTGCGCAGATCTGCTCGGACATTTCCTGGGATTCCGGCATGTCTTCGTCGGCAATGTCGGCCATGTGCAGCTTTGCCAAGTATTATGGCAGTCTGGATCAAATTGGGACACTGTGCTTGGAAATGGATTTGAACCAGGCGCTGTCGATCAGTGAGCTCTGTCTGGTGAGGTGCATCTGTAGGACAATTGAACACTTGGGAACATGCAAAGCACTGGTAATCATTCTCAAGTTCATCAATGAATCGGCTGAGAAGTTGCTGCTGCATGTGTTTGATGAGTGGCTGTCCACATTGATGCGCCTCATACAGGTGGATCACAAGCTCTGCCGGGTGCATTGTGGTCCCACATAGGATGCACGTGCTCCTCAAAAGGGTCAACAAAACAGGGTCTTTCCAGTGGGCATCAATGGAGTTCCCTGTGATGGCACGTTCAAGGATGAATCTGGCCTCTCGGTCAAGGCGGCTGGAGTACAGCAGTGTGAGTTCCTCCTCCGTTGGAATGTGCGGATACAGGATGGGTTCCTGCATGCGCATGAACTGCATTCCAAGCTGACGTAGGGGCAAGCACACGTGATGACTTCTGTGGCTTCCAATGTTGGGGTTGCATAAGCAACCTGTCTCATCGTACAGTAGCTCTACGAGCAAGCCTGTGACAGCCTGAGCCGCTGACCATAACTTTGGATGAGCAGCCAAGAGATGGCCTGAGAGGTCGGATGCTCTCAGATACCGACTCTTGCAGTTCTGGCATTGAAGGGTCAGTTCCATTCGAACATGTGGGTCCCGCAACGTATTGGCAAGTTGTCCCTGACAAAGGGCTGCAATCCATCTGGGTTGAACATCGACAACTTCTGTCGGCAAATCAGCATTGAAGTTGAGACATCTGCCCTGCGTTATGTGGGAGCGCAGGGATTCCACATTGTCATACATGGTGAGGCAGTGGGCGCACACCGGTTCACCTTCCAGGGTGTCTCTGGCCGGATTGAAACTTGGGTTGCTTAACCGATGCTCTTGCACTAAATGGTTGTGCAATGTCTCACTGCTTGAAAAGTGCTCCATGCAAATTTCACAACGCTGGGCTTGCTGAGATGGTGTTGCGCCTTCATGTGTGCCTCCGCCATATACAAGAAGGAGCCCCAATTGAACCCAGATCGGGCACTGATGATTGGATTTGAAAAGCGCATGGCAAAAAGGGCATGGCGTCTCCTCACCATACAAGTTGGATAGCTGAATGCCCTTTGCTTGCACGTGTGGCCAGAACTCTGGATGATGGATTTTCAGATGACGATGTAGCTCTTGGGTTCTGCCCAGGAACTGGTCGCACAAGCAGCATCTTGATGCTAAGTATGTGCATGCATCTGTCTCCTTCCGCATGTGGTGCCAGGCTCTGGTGGCAACGATGGTGAGCACGCGGGTGCCCCACTCCTGATGTTTCAGGTTGGCAAGGTCTGCATCTGTCAGAGCGGCTTCACCTCTGACGGGTCCATCCAACTTGGCTGCAAACATGTCTGGCTTCTGTGGTGGGTCTGAGGCAAGCGACCGATTTGGGTCTGTCCAGCACTCTGCGGGTCCTGCAAGCAGTACCTGGCATCCACGCTGTATGTGCACATGAAAGTTGCGCCAGCTAGCAAACTTTTGATGACAGCACTTGCATTGTGGCAATCCATGTAGCATGTAGTCTGTGTGTTGTGCAGGGAAACAACGATTCATGCGATGGTCATGCATCATGGTGCAATGCCGTCTGAACTGGGCTACATCAGCTGTTTGATATTGGCATATTTGGCATTGGTGGAGTGCAGGGTGCACTTCAGGTTCAGGCGTTTGCACAGGCACCGCAGGTCCTGTGCATAGTTGCCACTGAATTTGGTCTCGAAGGGAGTCCAAGTGTGTCCAATCAAGTTGTCTGATGATGTCTGTGTGGGTGGCTTGCACAAGTCGGCATGTCAGGGACCTCTGCAGGCTGTCAATGGAATTCAGCAACCATTCAAGGGGCAATGCTACACTGTTACGCTGAAGGGCGGCTTGATGGCTGTGGCCTGTGATGTAGGCGTGATCTCCAAGGATTTGACGCAACATGGAAAACATATTTTTTTGTATGTGCTGCATGCCAAATGAGGTCAGGCCAAGTGAAAAAACACCATAAGTCATGACAGGGTATACACAGGTTGTGAAGAGCTGCAATCTTTGCCGTCTGTTCAACCCGCGTTTGCCCGTGAGCCATCTGCGGAGCCTGCTAAAGGCAATTTTGGAAAGTTGGACTCGATGTCGTACGGTCTGATCTTCCCATGTGGTGTATGAAATCACTGTGCCTAAATATTTGGCTTGTCGAGCAAGTGGAATCCAAATGATGTCATGTGTGTCAGAGGTGAATCCAATCCATTCTTTCCCATCACGCCAGGCGGTCAGGGTCAATCGGGTTTTCCGATGTGCAGTGCCTCCCATGCGTAGCAAGGCTGTGCATTTGGCTGGGTTGATGGTCAATCCAAAACGTTTGATGAGCTGCAGAGTCTTGGCAATGTTTTGCACGAGAGTTTGCAAGTCTTCATTGGAGCTGAATACGTCGCCCATGTGACAATCATCAGCAAAAATATTCACGCAATTGGCCACCCAGCTTGGATTGGTCACCCGGCTCAATTCCAGCAAAAAAAGCCACATGTACCCCGTCCAGAGGAGGGGGGCTGCACGGCATCCCTGTCTGACTCCCCTTCCTACCGCAATAGGGATATCTTCTCCATTACTATTGAGGTGATAATGGGTCTGTTGATGCCAATGAGACAGCAGGATTACAATTTGAGGATTGATGCCTATTTCCCCAAGTCTGGAAAACAACCGTGCTCTGCTTACCGTATCGAAGGCCTTTTCTATGTCGAGGAAGAGTTGGAGTCCCCCTGCAACACGATGTCTGGTCATCCCTCTGTGGCGTGTGAATGGGGTCGATCTCAGGCATGTCATCATGTTTCTAACAGCAAGGCAATGGTGGCCAACTCTGAGCAGTGCATCTTGTGTGGATCGGCCTGGGAGATAGGCCCAAAGAGGCATCAGTGTGAATGCTGGCATTGCATCCCATAGGGCTTTTCTGGTTAGAAGGCCTACGATGCATTTGCTGATCGGTTCCTGCAGCGCCAAAGGGCGCAATACACTAGGTGACACTGGAGGTTTGTTCGGTTTGGGAATAAGGATCATCCAGCTATCACGAAACCAACCTGGCAAAAAAGGCTCTGGTTTATTCCACCATTCAGTCAAAAAAGCATGGATAATGGGTGCCAGTTGTGGTGCAAGTGCTCTCCACACCGTGCCCGGGGCGCATGGTCTGGCCACAGCACGTGACGCCGGGATTCTGCTCATTTCTGCTTCCAGTTCGTCTGCGGTAAAAGGCATACCTGAGTGTGGATAAGGCATCGTAGGGAAGGTTGGTGGTCCCTTCCAGGTGTCCATGATGTGTTTCTTCAGCATGGCGGTTTCTTCGATGGGTGAGGCAATGTTACCTTGGAGGTTACGTAATTGGATTTTACGTTTGGACTGTTTAGGGGAATATTTATTAATGATTGTGAAAAGTGCATGACTGTCATGTCGTTGGGCAGCATTCTGTGCACTCTGGAGAACCTCATCAAAGCGCTGCTGTCTCACTGTCTTAGCATGTTGCTTGGACTGTCGATTCAGTTGGGCAAATTTGGTCTGGTGCATCCAGGCCTGAAAGAGAGTGGGCAGCGTCACTTGGGTCAATGTTTGTAATGCACGTCTATGTTGCCACTTGGTCATGACAATATGCTCGGTGATGACATCAGGTGTGGTCTTTTTCCTTGGGATTGTGGGAAAATGGGATTGGAAGCATTCAATGGCCACTCTATGCATAGTTGGAATCACATCATCATCTGAGTGCTGGACACTGGTCAGGGTGTCCATCAGCGCAGCTGCTGTGTGGGTTACAAACTCTTGCCATTCAGGTGTGTTCAAGCGGCTGGCAATATGTCCCTGTCGTCTCTGTGATGGTGTGACACCCCAAACATGGCGTTGTTGGTGTGGAGCAAACCATTGCTTCCGAATTTGTGCAATCATGGGGACATGTCCAACCTCTCCTTGAAAAGGAGCGTCTCTGGCATACAAAACGTCCTTTGAAACTCCATCTGCGACTTGTTTGCGTGTTATGATGAAGTCTATTCTGGAGCAGGCATTGGCATGTTCATATGTTGGTCCTAGTCGCGGCGTCCATGTGTTCAGAGCAACAAGTCCATGGAGACGCAATAAGGATGTGAATCTGCCATTGTCACGGTGCTGGGCCCCTCGGGTGAGGGATCCTCTCCAGTGAAAAACTTCAGGGCCACTGTGTGATGCAGCCTGCAACAGATCGCAGTTGAAGTCTCCGCCTAGAACCAGAATGTTCCTTGCAACAAGGCCATGCATCAGCTGATCAAGTTGATCCCAGAGCAGTGTTCTGGCTGACTGTCGTTGTGTCGTGGCTACATAGGTGTGTTGGTAACACCCTATCAAGTCAATGGCTCTGCGGTCAAGTCGGACCTGGATGTGCACAAGACGTC